AAAAAATACATCATCAATTTGGCCCTATGTTCCGGGGTGTAGTACCATTATCTATACCCTCTTTAAGATCAACTAAACGTGGATTATCCTCTAGCCGAAATTCTCTTGGCAAAATTGATTATTTTTAGCCCAAGATAATTTTAACTATGACTTTTTTGTGACAAATTGTTAAATAAAATTTTTTGTGTGGAAATTATAGCCTTCATTTCAGATAGTAAACTTTGTGTACAATCCACAAACTTTATTAATTATGCAATCCCAAAATAAATTAAATTTGATTATTTAAAGTTTGAATCATATTTTAATGATGTGAAAAGAAAAGTACATACTGTGCCTAATGCGTTTAACACATGGTCTAAATTTGAAGAAATCTTGCAATATTTGAACCTTGTGACACCAAACAGTAAAAAAATAATTATGAATGAACAAATTGATTCCATGAACACAAAAAGAAATAGTATCAGTGAAACCATCAGAGCATTTGAGTCTTTTGCTACCTCTCGTACACTTTATAAAAAACTGCGTGATGAATTTAAACGACCTTCTACTCAAACATTGACACGCATTACTTCAAAAGTATTGAAATCTGATAATAATTTTTTTTAAAAGAAGTTTTTGATAATTTAAGTAATGACTAAAAAAATTGTATTATTCTTTACGATGTTAAAAAAATGATGAGCCAGATTCTTATTCAAAAACTGTTTTGGGTGTCATGATAACTTGAATGTTTGGTAAAACTAAATTTCTTTTGAAAATGTTCTTTGTAAACAAGTTGAGTTCTCAAATTTTATATGATCAAATTCATTTGACCGTTAATGTAAACCGAAGAAACTCAAAAAATGGAACCGAACCGAGCTAATAATTTAAAATAGAATAAAAACCGAACCGTAACCAAAAAAACCTTTTAAAACCAATATGAACTTTAAAATATCTAAAAAATTATTTAGTATTGAATTGCATAATATAAATTTGTTATTTAATTTAAGAAACCTCAAATCACAGTAAAGCAAAGTAAAAAAGAAAACAATATTATTGAAATAAAATAGTCTGCAAACTGCTTGCCGTGAATTTAAAACAAATGTTGCGGACTACAAAGAAGTATGATTTTTTAAGAGTTGGATATCAATGTCTTGTAAAATATGAATATATAAAAAGCTTTTATTGAAAAAATGTAATTTTATATTATACTAAATTTCTAATATGGTTTATAATATTACCTGATAATATTGTTATTCTGAAATCCTTGCAAAATAAAATGTTTTTATTGTATCCTTATAAGCAAATAAATAGCAATACTAATATAATCAAAACACTTCATTGTTTAAATATTATTAATGCCTGTAGAAGAATGCAAGATGTAAAGTATTTTAATATTTGCATTGTAACTAATAATGTTCTAAATAAAACCTAAAATACTATTTATGGAATTTGAAAAATTGTAAAGTTAAATATATTTATGTTAAACTATGTTATCTGCTGTTATACTTGTTTAAAGTTAAATTTTTATTTATGCTTATTTTATGGTTAGGTCTTACTAACAATTTTTATTATATTTACATTAAAGAAGTCAAATATAAATGGTATTAAAAAACTCTTTGAAAAGTCAATTAAGTTTAAAGTCAAGTGTAAAATTCGCTTTATATCTTACAAAATAAACTGCGAAGGTACTTTAGCAATAACTAGCCACGCCAAAACTATGCATGAAACACCTTGAAAAGAACATATTTTGAAAACTACCGAGTCACTTAATAAATAAAATCTTTATGAAAAAAAAAAAAGGAAAAAAACAACTACAATTGAAAGTTGTATTATAAAAAACTAAAAATATGGGTTATGATCCAAAGCATTTAACGTTTGACTTAGATTTAACAAAACTTATTTAGTCTACCTAGATAACGAAGGAGCACAAAAGTTTATTGATCAAGTAAATATCAAATTTACAGTCAAATCTGCATCAACATTTAGACTTCAAAAACTTCCCATGTTGTATGAAAAGGTAAAGGAGGGATTACAAATTTCTTAAAGATTTTACAGAAGTAACAACAAATCCCTTGACATGTCGAAATAATGATTCCTACATGAGTCTTACAATTTACTACATTAGTTCAGACTTTTGTTTAGTAAGTTTTTTCATTGCTTGCGTACCATTTACTGGTAGAAACACTAGGGTTGCAATTGCAGTAAACCTGGAAGCATTTATTACTAATTTGAAGTTAAATGAAGAAGTCCATCGAGCCTGTATTAATGACAATGGCAGCAACAATGTTTTAGCTGCTAAAAAAAGAGATGAAATTAATTCAGAACTGCGCTGCAGTGATCACTTAATCTAGCTAGTTATTCTTAATGCAATCATTCAAACGAACTTTCTAAAACAAGAAAAACTGTACAGATAGCATATCACACACATAATAGTTTTCTGCAACCAAGCCTCGATATACTTGTGAAGAACTTCGAATTAAGCCCAAGATATTGATTGTTCCATATACAAAACAATTGAATAAGGATTAAATGTGCATAATAATGAAGTCAAAGATGCAATCAAAACATTTGCATAAAAACAATAATCATTCTGAAAGGTCATGACCCTAAAATTAGATTATAGCATTCCATTTCTTGAAAAAACTTACAATGTTTCACTAACCTTATCAGCCGATAAAAGACCAACAACCCGCGATGTACTACCTGAATTTTATTCTTTCCCATCAACATCACAAACACAAGTCAACAAAAAAAAGTATAAAAATGCTGGTTTGTGAACTGCAGGAAAGATATTTTCTTAATGGTGCTAAGCAGCTGATGCTGAGAGCTGATTATTGTTTTGCAATTTTTTAAACCCACATTATAAAGGCCTGCAATTGATTGACTATAAAAAAGATGATAAAATAAAAGAAGCAGTCGACTCAGAAAAAAGGGGGAAAACATGAAAAAGCTGCATGGAATAGCAGCAAAACAGACAATTAAAGTTGTAAACATGTTAAAGTTAATCACCGTGAATTGCTTAGAAAAAAACTGATTTAAGATATTTTACCACGAAGTGTTTCAACAAGGAAAAATTGGATTCAGAAATTGATCATTATTTTGCAGCCGAACTAGCTTAAGAAACAGCAAATATTTTTGAGTGGCGGAAAATTATGAAGTTGCAGTATCCAATTTTATTAAATTATTCACCAAAATATCTTTGTATACCAGCAATCTCAGTAAAATCGGAGAGGGTTATTTCTACTGCTGGTAACGTTGTCACTGGAGAACTATGTTGGCAAAACCTTAAAAAAATTGTTTATATAAAAAAATTGTTAAAAAAATAAAAATGATATTTTAGTTTCCTTTGGTATTTTTAAAAATCTGTAATTCTAAACTTATTAAATAAACACCTCTAAAACTATGTTAAGTTTTTAACTTAAACCGAACGATCAATAAAAAAGTTTAAATCGAATAAAAAAAAAAACGAACAGAAAAAAACTTTACACTTTAACTGGCTTTAATAACTACATACCTAGTTATGTTTTGTGTTTACTCTCATAAACTTTATCTAATACACAGCATCATAGCAATATTTTTATTTAATTAAACTTTTGGTTATGTGTTCAGTTTTGTTTGTGTGTTTTCTATATTTGTGATACAGGGATATCATTTGTGATACAGGGTCTGCTGAAAAATTGTCCTGTTGGTGGAACAGTCCTGCTGTCATATTGTTTTATTTCATTAATATTTAAATGATATGATGTTAAAAAATAAGCAAATAAAAACTACTTGCTTCTTTCTTTCAACTTATTAAAGAAAAAAACAAAATTTATTTATAAAAAAATTTACTCATAAATTTTTCTCATAAAATTTCAAAGTAGTATTAGTCAATTTTGTTTACATGTTATTAAAAAGTCATAAGAGCTATACTAAAAATGAATTGTAAAGAAAAAAATGTTTTATAATTTATTTTTTTAATAGTAAAAACACGGTTTTTATTGGGTTTATAAAGTACTCAAAGTGTCCTATTAATTAAAACACCTAACATTGGCTTAAGAAAATATATGCTTCTTATATAATAACTTACAAATATGTTCCATATAATATATGTTTCTTTACTAATGTTTCTTTACTGATGTTGTTTTTATGGTTTGTTTAGGCCTTAACCCGTCAAACTTTGATGTTAAATCATTTTAAAAACAACACCACTTCTGCAAAAATAGTTTTATGTGAACATTTACCCATACTTAATCAATTAACTTTAATTAATTAAATTTTTATCAATTTTACATATCAAGACATAACACTGAAAATGAGACTTGAGAAAAACTTCTTCAAAAACATGTACTTAGCTGTAGTAAAATACAAAAACAGAAACGTATTTTGTCAGGTTAACGAATAAATGCAAATATAATAACTATAATTAAAATGATTAACTTTATAAATTAAATTTTGAAAATTAAACATGCCTACAGCAGCCAGAGTACAGATGTTTATGTTGTGGCTTGAAACTAAGTGATTTGTGGTTTCATGCTGGATTATTATTAAGGGACATACAAAAGAAGTGGTAAGGAAGGAGGTGTAAACTTCTTGGTTAAATGATTAATTGTTACCAAGGTAAAATTGTGCAAGGATTACTTCAAATTAGAATTAAAAACAGGGGTTTGTGGTAAATCATTTGTTTTGAATGTAAAAACAAATTTTTTACCACATGAACGTAAAAAAATCACCTTAAAACCTTGGTTCCTAAAAATGAAAAAATTTAAAACACTTAGCTTTTGTTTCCTGAATATCTAAATTACTGAAGCAAAAGAAAAAAATGGACCTATACGGGTGCATAATTAATCAAATATAAACAATTTACAAATTTTTTTGTAATTTTTATGGTTAATTGGTTAAACTCCTATATTTATTATAATTAAAAAAAGAGCATAATTTGTACCTTTTCTGCATGTTAGTGCACAAAAACTGATATTTTTCTGTCTGTAAAACTGTTTGGTTTGGTTGGTTATATGACGATATTGGATTCATTTTTGATACTAATAAAATAATTAAAACTCTAGGATTATTTTTTTTAGATATTATATCAAATAAAACTTTTAGATGAATAATTTTAATTATCTAGACAAGAACATCTAGTGTTGTATGCAAAGCTGTAAATGCAAAACATATACATGTTTATTGTCTAGTTATTTTATTAAATTAATTTTTATATATTCATTAGATTTATAATTTGATAATTGATGCAATAATACAGAAAAATATTTGATAAGGATTTTAATAACTTTGATTCAAAATAACAACTAAAATAAACCACTATACCAAAGTTATTCCGTTACTAGATTTTTTATCACATAGACAATTTTATGAAAGTATCTATTCTTTTGAAAAAAAATTTGTAAAGTTATTTATTTTTAAAATATAGAAAAATAGTTTGTATAAGATATGTAAAATCGTTGGCTTCCCTTGTTTCATATTAAGCTTATGTTTTTTTCTTTTAAGAATACCATTAAAATGTAACTATCAGTGAAGTAACTTTAATTTATTAGCTTTAGATTAAAAGTAAATTTATTATTTTTTTCTTTAATTAGTAATTTAATTTACTAGTTTAATGAAAATAGTTTGATCCAAAAAGTCGTCTCTTTAAGTAACTCAACTGCATTAAAATTTTTTTGAAGGTCGACTAAAAATATTTTCAGTCACTTTTCAAAAAAGTTGGTCATCTGGTGTCATTGCACAAACATGTTTGCACAACTTTAGACAAATCTGTTAAAATTGTTATAAAAAACTATAAATCTAAACTTCAAGAAAGCATTCGATTAGCACACTTACTCTTTCAATTATTATTTAATTTTACAATAAGACTTACGCCCTAGGTCAATAAATCTTAAAACTACACCCTTAGAAAATTTGAATAATGCTTTAGTTTATAACACTGTGTAACCTAACTTTTGTTTCCGGCTCTTAATTTTTATAATTCTTTTGCTCAATATCAATTTATTGCCCAGCACAAACTTTACTTTAGTAAACACAAGTGCTGTTAAGGGTTATTATTGTGAAAAAACTAATACACTTTTAAATATTTATTTATCTGGTTTTATAAAAAAAAATGCTTACACAATAAATAGACAGTAAAAAATAGTTTAAAAGAATAAATGCTTTTATAATGTTTTTTTTTTTAGATTTGCAAGTGCACTAAAAAACAATTTATTGAAAGATTCTTTGATATCAGTTAAAAAAAGAAAAATTTAGTCAAAAAAATAATATAACTAAACATTTATATGTTTTTTTTTTTGTTTTTTTTTTTATTATCTTTTTTGTGTGTGTTTTTTTCACTACCAAAATTGATACAATTTAAGTAAAAAAGCAAATAAGAATATAACGAAAACAAAAAACTTTTTTTGATATACAATTTATTTGTGACTTTTGTCAGTATTTAAGGAAATACTATAATATAGAAATACAAAAAATTTAAGAATTTTTTTTCAAATGCTTTTGCTGAATTTTACAGTTTTTTTCAAAGCACAAAACAGCGAGGAAACTAATTGCTATTTATTTGTAAAAAAAAAAATAAAAAATAAAAAAAAAGTTTTACATGTTTTTCTGATTAAAAAAAAAAAAAAAAGTCGATGACACTATTTTTCAAATACAAAATATTAAGTTTTTTTTTTACCCCCATTGAAATAGCCAGCACTTTTGTTGGATTCTCCAAAAGGTGCATTTATACCCGATAGTTTATTTCCTGATGAGCTAATGTTATTGACAATGCTCCAAAAGTTTGTGGCCTACACTATTTACTGAACTTTTTGAAAAAAAATTTTAAAAGTCTATTTAATACTTTTTTTAGGTTTTGAAATACATTTTTTCAAACAGACCAATCGTTATGTTGTTTATTTCTAGCAACTATATTGCGTATATTACTATTTAGTTTATAAAGTAAATGGACTGATTAAAATTGTAAACAGATTATTTTATGATGAGAACTGCTGTGGTCAGTGTGTCAAAAAAAATTACTTTAAATGTGGACTAGCAAGGCGTACGACCGCACTCGCTTTCTGGAAAGACTTGAATTGACGAATGTGCAAATGGTTATGCCTAAAACCCGGCCTGGCCCAAAAACCTAAAAACCCGGCCTGGCCCAGTTTTTAGGGTGACTTTTTTTTATTTTATTAAATATATTTATTTTTGCAAAAGATACACATTAGTTAACCTTTTTATTGATTAGAGATTTACAGATTTTCTAATAATTTAAAAATCTGTAAGTTTTGGTTTTGATAACTTTTTCTTAGTAACTAACTCCTTTTACATATTATGTAAAACGAAGTAATTAGTATAAAATATTATTTAGAGTGCCTATATTATAAAGTTGTATGGCTTTTATTGCATTTTCCAAGAAGTGATGAGATAATTACTGAAACTATTAAGTAAGTGCCTGGCTTTATATAATACTTACAAAATCATTTTAACAGTGTCATCACAGTACAGAAACCAATAAAAGAAAGAAATTTGTTAGAGTGCAACGAAGATCAAATGGCGCCTATCGTTCATGCTAAGCCATACTTCGTGCATAAGAAAAGTAATAATGAGGTAATCGAGTGTTTAGCAAACTTTAAAACCATGTGTAAAAGAGAACTACTCAAAAGCCAAAAAGAGGAGACGTTTTTATATATCAATATCAAGGAAACGTCAATAAAGGAGAACAATTTATTAAGTTTCTTGACTTAGATTTGTATCTTTTCTAAAAGGATATTTAATAAAAAATGAAATATTTTTTTTGTTAGTTTTAATATAATATGATCCAATGAGACTTTAATTTTTTTTAACGCATTCATTTTTAATTTTCAGATGATTTGGTGTCCAATAGATTAAAAAGGGGAATGATAGGCATCCTCAAAAACAAACTGTCAAATATGATCACAAGTTCAAATTGCACATTACAGTATGATCATCTTTGACTTTTTATTGTTTTTTTTTTACAGCAATTGACTTATCTAAACACCCTTGTGATGTGGTGCAGATTGTCGACAAAGAATCGTCTGCATTATTGTTTCCACGTGGCAACAGTTACAAAACACCTACTACAAGATCATATGAGCAGACAGCGCCTTTGGCACTGGCTTATTTTGCTTATGAATTAAAAGAACATAAATTCTCACTTGCGCACTAAAAAACAGTAACAATGCAGAAAATATCAATGCCATTTTTAGAAATATTTGGCTAGTGCAAAATGTTAGAGAACAGCTTGCCACATGTCGAAAATGATTCAACGACAGCATTGCTAATTTTCATGCATTGCATGTAAATGGCTAAATGTGTATGACAGCAACTCAGGTATAACACCAAACATGTCGGAAGGTTTTAATACTGCCATGCGTTGTGTGCATAAATAGCAGGAGGTACCTATTGATATGAGTGTACATATTCTCAATCATCTTCAATGCTATTATATCAATTCCATCAATCTTGGATTAGGCAATCAGAGAGATTATCATCTACTTAAAGACAAATTTCCTCATCTTGTCGTTGTGAGAGACTTCGCTGTTTTATTTTGGAGATAATTCTTCCGTGGAAAAAATATCTCCAAAATGAAACAGCAGAACAAGGACAATATAGTTTAAGGAAAAAAAATGTTTGTTCTGTGTCTGAAAATGGTTGAGCTCAGACTGTTCTTAAAAATAACAAGTTAATTCAATTTAATTCATCTATGAAATATTTTTTGGTGAAAAGAACCAGTAACAAGGTACATTTGACTTGATTAAATTGACTAAAAATACATGTTTCTGTCAACCAGTAAAAATATGTTACCATATTAGAGTGGTGCAACGCCTTGTTGGCGCACCAGTTAGCTCTAAGAAAAAGTCTTAACGCAGCTACGTCAAAACAAGCGTGTTGTTAAACAATGGCTAGAAAGAAAACTACTACAGACTAGAGATTGTGATGTCAATGCGGCTCCTAATAACAAAAGTGACGACGACGATAATGCAATCAAGAGATTATCTCATTGAATCATGAAGAATTTATTGAAATCATATTGAATAAATTATTTCAACGGAATACTTGGACATTGAATCACAAGTCGTTGAGCTGCTACCCAAAGAAAAATTTGTAATTGTTAGTTACTCAACTAACATTGAAGATTTAGAACACAAAGCTCAGATGAGTTATTAAATAATGCTGTAATCCATGTTTATCTCAATCTGCTAATTAAACAAAGCTCCAAAGCGCAACCTAATTTATGTTCTATCTTCTTTTTTAGCTCAACAATAGCGTGAAAAAAACCTTGACTTTCTAAACAAGTCTGTCTATGCAAGTACCACTGGGTTCTTTTGTCCTATCACGTTATGAACTACCAATAAACACTTTAAATTGTCAACACTCTTAATAAAAACAGCTGGTATTGGGAATTCTCTTAATAGGGATAATAATTCGAAGCTATCTGTGAGATGAAATTGAAATATGGGTCAAAATTTTAATGCACCTCTGCAAACATTAGTGTAAAAACCTTAGTTTTTACACTATTGTTTGTAGAAGTTCTTACGTATGTAGAAGTTTTTATTATTTATTATTTTGAAAACAGTAGTGTAAAAGTTACATAAGAGGTTACTTTATAACAGTTAAAATTCACTTTTATCTTTTACCAATATTGTTTTTAAAAGAGTTTATCGTCTTCACATTAACAGTTTCATGATCTAAATTGTTTCAATTGTTACAAACTCGATTTAAGAAAAAGTTATGTGTTGCGTTACATTTTGGAGTGTATTCTCTTGAGAATCTGTAGTTGTGATTTCTGCTTTTTTTTTGTCAAATACTCTGTTGGTTATAAAATTTATTTGTTTTTGAAATGAGATTTGATCGTAACCATATATTATTCTATACATTTGATAAAGGTCTCCACGAATTCTTCTTTTCTCTAACGATTCCAGGTTAAGAACTTTAAGTTTATTTTCATATTTCATTTTTTTAAAGATGCGACAATATTCGTCGCTCTTTTTTGAACTTTTTCCAAATGATCTATATCTTGTTGTTGGTTAGGATTCCA